GCTGTTAGAACTAAGGTGATGCTATTTTAAACCGGCATCAAACATCGTACTCTGCGGTACCAGCTGGCGTTTAACGAAAATACCTCGCATTGAAGATTTGATAGAGTTCAACAGTACCTAGAGATATGCACTTGATGCGAATTCTACTTCAACAGTAGAGATATGCACTTGATGCTAATTCTACTTGAATTCTACAAATTGAAGGAGAGAACTAAAAGGTCATTTCTTACACACACGCATCCGATGATTGTAATTTTCCGGGTCAGTTTTTGTGATGAAAGGAATTATCGAAACACCATACTAAAACTGGTAAACACACATAACGTCCGTTTTTTTTTGTGCGTGACTTTTGCACTGCGTAACGAACGCATGCGTTAGGTAGGAAAATATCAATTTTGACCTTATTGTCATACAAATACGGTTTATGTCAAACGGTTTGACAGACGTTTCCGCTAAGGCTGCGCATTGCACAAAGCACAACGGTGCGTTGACATTGACATAAGCCATATAATTTGTATGAAAATAAGACGGAAAATAGCATTGTCCGATACACAGATTGTCATTTGTATGTTGGCTGTCTGTCACGAACCGCAATTCAGTCCAGTGCGCGTGCGACTTCCAAAACAAAACACGCGCGTTACATTCTCCAAGCCCGATGCGCAAGCGCAGCCAACGTTGCATACGAAATTACGAATCGGCCGCAATTTGTATGGAAGTAGGTAATCGGTGCAGTTATGTAATGTTTATCTGCTAAAGACCTGCCGGGCCGGTCTTGTTACGTAGATATTATTGTAATGAGTGTTGGACCACTACACTGGCTGTGTTGATTACCTACAGGTCACGATCGTGTGTGGCACTTGTTGGTGTCCGTATAGTCGTCTTATAGTAGTCTTTATCCTCATACTCAAAACATGTCCAAGCTCGGATCGAAATTAATAAAAAAGCAAATCTTTCCTTTATTTTCATTAGTACGTAATGGAGAAAAGACTGGTTTCAATGAATTAAGGCTACGAAGAGAGGGATTTTCACAGATGCGTTTGCTCTTTGGGGAAATCTCTTACGTTCCGCTTAGATATGAAGGAAGTTCCCTGAACCCGAAATGGGCAAGTCATTTACAAATCGATTGTCCTTATGTGACGATGCGATCCTTTTTTGGTACGAAGGCTGGATTCTAACATGACGTTTTACTAAGCTACAGAACGGAAGTACCTACTTAAATAATATTGTAATCAACCCTGAACCAGTGTCAGAAGCATCTCCGAAACAGCTGTGTGGGGTAAATTGAGCAGTTGACAAGTAATTATCGCCCCCTGTGGACAATGATGGGAACCCTAACGAGGTCGGTGGTCAAACGCGACTGATTACATCTCCATACAAGGTCAGGGACGTTGCCCCGATAACGTATCTATCGTCCACTGGGGGATGCTATAGGTACTAAGCCGGCATCACACGGCAGACATTAATCCACTTGAATCTTCATCGGGTCGTTGGACGACTTGGTGTTCCACACGAAGAAGGAGACAGGTTGGAAGCTATTCAAAATATTGTAATCAACCCTGAACCAGTGTCAGAAGCGTCTCCGAAACAGCTGTGTGGAGTAAGTTGAGCAGTTGACAAGTAATTATCGTCCCCTGTGGACAATGATGGGAACCCTAACGAGGTCGGTGGTCAAACGCGACTGATTACATCTCCATACAAGGTCAGGGACTGGGGGGATGCTATTCTAAGCTGGCATCACATGGCAGACATTAATCCACTTGAATCCTCACCGGGTCGTTGGACGACTTTGTGTTCTACACTTCTACACAAAGAAGAAGACAGGTTGGAAGCGATTAAAAATATTGTAATGAACCCTGAACCAGTGACAGAAGCATCTCCGAAACAGCTGTTTGGAGTAAATTGAGCAGTTGACAAGTAATTATCGTCCCCCGTATGGGAACCCTAACGAGGTCGATGGTCAAACGCGACTGATTACATCTCCATACAAGGTCAGGGACATTGCCCCGATAACGTATCTGACGTCCATCTGTGATAACAGCTGTAAGGTTCAGTAGCTTTCAAGATGTAGGATCTAGATGTATTTTTATGTGACTGCCTCGGACGGAAGGTTATGTTTTTGGAGAGTATGTATGTATGTGGACAAGAACATTCTTTTTCACGGACTAGGTACCTATGCTATAGCCTAAACCGATTGGCGGATTTTGATATGTGAGGTGTCGTTAGATGTTTCTCATCTCAGCTGTGTGAGTGATGCTGGCTAAAATAAAACTTCATAAATTCAAAATGGCGGATTTTTATCGCACAATACAACTTTGAAACTACCGCAGTCGGGTTCTTGTTTTTTAATAGGTACATCTGCTTGTTTCACAGTATGTAAATAAAGTTCATTTAATTTTTGATTAATTATTTAACTTTTCACTAAGAGATATCTAAAAACCCATTAGGTACTTAAGTAATTAATTAGCAAACATGTGTTAGGTACTTGAGAAAAAAGTGAAGTTAACATTTGCTTGTTAGTCACTGGGAAGTCCCTCCTCCTATGTATGACGTACTGACACAAAGTAAGTATTGGCTAGCGCAATCCAGAGAGTCGGCTTCGAGCAAATGCGGCTAAACTCACTCAGACATCCACACGCGTCGTTTACGCGCTCTGTGGAACCGTGTCGAACCGGCTTGAGTGTGAACGGCGCGTTCGGTGCGGGCTAGGGTTGCCAACTATTTTTGTTCCAAATATAGTATTTAACCAATTAATAGGTAAAAATATATAGTAGCTTTACAAAATATATAGTATCAATTTATTTCTTTTTAAAAGAGTATTGTGTAGATCCAGCAGCATCAAATTTTAAAGGTTTTTGCCTTTTGAAATATTTTTTTTTTACTAATGATAGGCCACACATTAATCTGCTTGTGTCGCGAGTGAAGCGAGCTCGACTTTTCACGTTACAAACGAGCGTAGTAGCTAAAATAGCCGCTTTTGGAAAATAAGCTGAAAATTACACGCACGTCTCGAGTTCGGCTTTTCACGCCGCAAACTGGCGACGAGTCGAAACACAAGCACCGAATGTGTAGCAGGCTAAACGGTACTCATATCGCTTTTCACGCTGCAAACGGCCGACGAATCTAAACAATAGTCGCGAGTTTAAAGCAGGCCGACCGGTAGGCAAACGTATTGCTTGCGAGCGAAGCGAGCCCGACTTTTTACGCTGAAAACAGGCGACGAGGCATTGACTTTAAAATAGGCCAAAATATAGTAGATTTAGCTACTATATATTTGTCCAACAGTATATAGTAGTTACAGCTGAAATATAGTAGAATACTATATTATATAGTAGGGTTGGCAACCCTAGTGCGGGCGGACGGAAACATGGCGAGTAAACAAAAATATTTTTGTGATGTGTTTGGGTGACTCTTTTATTTGATAAATAAATAGATACCTGCTTCAAACACTAGAAATGGAGGGATTTCTATTTAAAAATCTTATTTTTCGTTCGTAATAGGTATTTGCTTTAGCGTTTTAGGTACGTACGTAGAAGTAGGTAGGTGGCGCTTTAGTTTGATTTGGTAGGTTAAATGGGTTTAGGTGGGCACCTACCTATAGTAGATAGATACCTACCTAGTCAGCATTTGACGTGAAGCGATGAGTACCGAAATACCGATAGCAAAAGGTCCAGGTTATGTCATCATCATTATCGATCATAAGGTAGGTACCTATGGTAGTCCAAATGGACTATTACGATCCTGGATAATTATTCATTTTTTCGTCACGGCAGCTGGTGACCTTCGAAACCTACCAACTCACCTTACAGCACAGCTTCCATGACCGCATTTTTTTTCCTCTACCTACCTACTACCTACTTACCTACCTGCCTACCTATGGGTCGCTTCGCTCACCACCTAGTCTCGTGACCCAAACCCATTGCCTATCTACCGATTTAGGTGGGGACTTACTTATTTCCTATTAGAAATATGACTTTCTCCTCAGGTAGGTACCTACTTCCATATGGCAAAAAATATTTAATATCGGCCAGATAATTTAGGAGTTTATCAATTGCATATACTTACCTAATTCATACTTACAAACGATAGGTAACTTCATAAAAAAAATCAGAAAGTAAAAGTAGCAACCCTAGAGAGTAGGCATAAGTGATCGAAAGAAGGGGCGAGCTGGCCTTCTGTAAATTCTCTATTTTGTGGTACTGACTACATTACATCACAGCACGCACTAAATTGTTTCGAACTTGTGGGTTTTATCTTTCTTTTATAAATATTTTCCAGGCAAGTCTGTCATCAATTCAAGAAAAAAGAACAAGTAAAATATGGCGTGGTAGGTGATACTGACAAAAACACAGAAGCACAATGTTAAATTATAAGAGATAGTACTTATTAGGTAGTTTGCATAAGAAAAAGACTTGACGAATTGCAAATTGGTGATACAAAAAAAACCCAGCAGCGGTTGTAATAATAACTATTATTTGTTTATAGAAGAACAACACAACATTTATATTATTAAGTGGCATGTATATGTGATTATTTTAGCAAATCTAACTTCTATATGTGGAAGCTTGTAATAGGCATTTGTTTGTTACTTAATTAAATATGTTTTTTAGGCTGTAAGCTCCCCAAATAAAATAAAAAAATAAAATAATTTCATCTCAGTTTTGCAACTTTAATATCAATGTTTACTTCGTACTTCTACACGTGTAAAAATAGCATTACGTTGTAGGTAAAAGTATATCTAGTTGTACATAGATAATTATTATGTGCATGCGTTCTACTCTTATCACAGGTCAGAAGGTCTTTGTAATACCTGTCACCGGTGGATATGCTTGTTAAGGATCAACTAGGACACAAAAGGTGGATTATAGTTACAAATGACTGTTCTTAAGGTTCGTATCCACTAGCTGGTAAATAGGAAACCTAAACAAAACTCTAGTTACCTAAATAGAAACAAACAAGTTGCAAATTTTGTAAGCTAGAAAATTTAATAATTTAAATTCATTAGCGTCGGCCGGGACTAGAACCCAGGGCCGTGCGTGGGGTACCATCCCACTGCTCTACCAACTGAGCTACCGGCGGCGTCTGACTGATGCTAACGAATTTTTCAACCTCTCGAAGCGACATCTAGTCGTATTTGTTTACAACTTTATACTTTAGTTAGTCAACATTACAGTAGGTTTATTTTCTAGTGACTTGATCTCATTTTGCGAAGAAAATCAATGGAAAAGAAGCTTTTCAGAAGGTGTGTTTGTTTGGCCCACTTTCACATGAAAGGCTTGTAGGCCTGGATCTGCCTGCCATTTTATACAAAGACAGTTTCCAAGCGTGAGAGCAGCATCTGTTTTTTACTGCGGAATCTTATTCCCATGGGAACAAGTTGGTTCTAGTCAAAAGACTCTGAAAAGATATAAGAAGGAACATTTTGTATTTCTTTATTTATTTATAAATACATACCTTTCTACACCTTTCTAGACCACATTTGATAAGGTATATTCTAGTCAATATATAGTCGGCAATATGTAGTAATTGGTATGCCAAATTCAGCTAATATTGCCTGGCGAAAATGTATAAGTACCTAGGTTTACCTAAGTATTTCCAAGTAATTGGCTTTATCCTTCGGTAATAAATAATAACCACGATCCCTTTTCAAACAAGTATAGTATTATTTTTTAGCTAACATTTTTTTTTGTTATTATCTTTTTAACTTATTATTATGATCTTATTAATACTACAGTTGGCAAAATTTTAGCCAACTGTAGTGTTAGTAGAATGGAACTAAGTAGGTAAAACAAGCTGAAAAAATAATAGTGTGTTTTTCACCATTGAATAGTTCATATCTATTAGGTAAGTAGTTGTTTTGCATTTCCACATTCATATTGAAATTATTTTAAACAAAGCTTGTACTCTGCTACCAGTAGACGCTTTGTTTGAAATAATTTCAATATCAATATTATTTCTACTAAGTAGATATTAGGTACGACTTTTTTACAAGTAAAACAGTTTCATATATTTTTTTAAGGTTTTTATCAAAAACACTCGCTAGCTAAGTTACAATAACGATACAGAGATAATAGGTAGGTAAGTACCTAAAGATCGTCTGACTCAACATGATCTTGAAAACTTTTCAGAGAACTTGAGAACACAACTGTTGACTTTGCCTTTTTTGTGATTGGGCAAAAATGTGTCAATGTGTTTAAGTACCTTTCTACTTCATATTGGTTGTCGTTACGTCATGTCATGCCACTAGCAATAATCTTATGAGTTTTTCTCCCCATTGCGTAGCAGATGACGCTTAGCTACGTTACGAATAAGGATAGAAAATAAGTGTTTCGAACGCTTCCTTCCTCTTACGTTAGGTTTATTTTCCGGCGAAGGTTAAACCCACCTCCAGGGGGAATTTAGTTCAGTGGGCAGGGTAGCCCATAACTCTATGAATAACGACCAGTATGACGATAACATAGCCGTTAGCAGATAACTTTATGGGGTTATTATTTCGTTTACTATCAGAAGCAACTCGTATACCCACTTAGGGAATCAACATATTACAATTTTTTCCATAGTGAAAAAAATATCCCAGAATGATGGAGTAACAGGTTTATGATGGCCTAGTGCGTTTATCAATGAAAGTTCAACGATATGAAATCCAAAAAGTGGTTCCTTCAGAGGCACCTGCCTTAAATTCACGATCTTACGAATTTAAATAAGTATAGTGTTATTAGTTAGCGACTTTCAAGTCACTAGGCTCCAATTTTAGCTCTACTACCTCTTGAATCTGCAAATGCGATGATCTTTACAATAGTTAGATATGACTAGGTAGGTACCTAAGCTATTTTACTCCAAAGTATTTACGTCAATAATCGTATGATCACTATCGTGTTTTACGTTCCTTCCATCCTGCATTTAAACAGATAACAAACAAATGGTGTACCTAGTGTTAAAATGCTAGAGCACCAGCTACATGTGTATGCTAATATTATAATACTTATCACTTACCCTATTTCATGAAATAATTAACTATGTAGGAACTCGGTAAGAAGTTTTGAAACTTTCGTCCGTCCTTTCGATATTTGTAGAGTGAGTACGACGTAAGCACAGACGTAAGAGAAAAAAACTTTTCTTTCCCTCCAAAACGTTCCAATAATCCAATGAGAGTTGAATCACACAATCACAAGTTCAAAGCACTGACTAGTCGTAGTGGCCCAAATATGGGCACACATGTAGGCCTGTGTTGGTAAACATTGCAGCCGCGAGTTTCGCGATGTATTGCACGGCGGCGCGGCGGTGTAGGGTCGCCCTGCGCGGGTGACGGGCATGTAGCGACTGAACTCGGTCTGTGAGGTTGAGGTGTCTCGGTGCGCGCTCAACACTCTCCTTAACCAACTGGTCCACTGCACTGGCGCAAGTGGCTTTTCACCCGTTTGCGGAAAACATAGTGCAAGGGTATGGGTATAAGACAGGCGTTCTTTCGTTTCAAAAAATATTTCTTCTGGTAACTGTTGTACCAGTGGTTTTGTACCAGTATAGCCCTGGGCTACTGTGCCAGCAGGTCTTGATTAGACTTACCTACCTATCTTGACTTTTTCTGACGACATCTGGAAACTAACTAGCAATGTTGAATCGGGCCCTGGTACCTATTGACAACAGTGCTTGATAGGTACCGACATGCCTAGTATGCCTACATGGTAATACCAACCTATCAATAACTTACCAACCTTAGAAGCTAGTTTATCTCATTTCTGTGTTATTTTTCAAGTAAAATAATTCATTAGATAGAACGTTTTCAGGCGGATCGTAAGTTACTGTTGAGTTACAGTTCCAACTATCATGTTTTATGATGATTGATGTTATGAGATAAATCGTGTTCCGAGAAAGCTGAAATCATCATTTAAGCTCTCTTCAACTCTACACTTGTTCATAGTGAAAGAAATGACTGTAAAAGTCTGAAAAGTTTAACGCGCTTATAAAAATAGTCATATAAAATGCTTGCTTGCTTTTCGAGAATACTAAAATTGAAACTCAATATGTTTTGCAATCACTCTACCTATGTACGTGTTTTATGTGCAAGACTTGTTTCTTGGACAAATATCTTGTTTTTTGAAGTAACTTGAGAAGTGAAGTAAAAGCGACGATACAATGATTCTGTTGAATGAAAGATTAATAAAAGCATATTGTTATGTATGACGTAGGTACCTAGGCCACCTATTGATATTGTTTCGCTAGTAACAATAAGCTCATTGACTTTAAACTAACGTAATTTTAATTACCCTTCTCTAAGAGGCAGTCGCTCGGATTGTAAGAGCATAACATAAGAAAGTGGTAAAACAATGCTGAGTGTAGGTAAGGGACAGCTCTACGAATACAGATGGGGTACATTCAGACCATGAAACTGAACAACTTCCCATAAGAAATTATTTCATGAGACATTTTTTTTCTATCATACAAAATCACTATGTAGGTAGAGTCAAAATACTACATTTTTTCGTCTCCGAATGTAGAGTCAAAATACATATTTTTTCAGGGAAAGTTGTTGTTTTATGGTTTGAATGCACCCTATCTATCAGTATTCAGAGAGCTGTCGCTTATATTACACCCTGTATGTACATAAACGAAAATAAAACTGCAATTAAAGCTATGAGTTCCTTTCATTTTGGGGTCGGAATTCCAAAGGGGTTACTATTCTTTGAGTCGGATGAGGAGTTATTTTGACTTCGGATTGTGTTTGATAATGTGATGAACTGCTGAATGACCAATGGAGTTGGTGTCATGTCACAATACCATCCTTTATAAAATTACCTACTTTTGCAATGTAGGTACCGTTTCCCCATGAGCATACTAAGTTTTCTCTCCTATTCCTATAGCTTCCCTAGGAGGAGCTCAAACCAAACTTCATCACATTATCAAACATTATCCGAGGTCAAAATAGGTAACTCATCGTCCGCCGTCTGAAAGAAAAGTAGTTAACCCGTTTTTTACAGGAAATTCGAATCCGAAAGGAAATCAAACCTTTAATTCAAGATCTAGACACACGGCAGTGTGTCCGCCAAGTTCGAGCAAAAAAAGCGACACACCGGCCGTGGGTTATATTACACGAACCATTTCGGGCCAAGTTCGACCCACCTATAACTCAAAATCTATTTTATCTACGCATATGAAATTTCTAGTATCTGTCGAGATCTACTTACTTATCTAAACTACAAAATTTCATTAATGTACCTATTGTAGGTCTTGAGATATTGACGTCAGAAAATCGCTATTTTTACTATACGCTCTGTTTAGTTTCGTACCATACGTTTTGTTGTTTCGCGCCATTTCGCCTGACAGACCGCGACCTGTGACGTTGACGTCGGCCGACGCCATTTTTTTCCTTTGTTCGTTCAGTCCGTTCGATAATCACGCGGCCGCCGGCAATATATAACCTCACTTTTCGTCGCTCGCGTCGCGGCTGCCGATAGCCACATATTTTTTAATTGTTTTCTTGATTGGGGGCCAACGGGGCTGATTTCTCATTCGGGGAGAAATCTTTTAGTTTTTGCGTTTTGTACAGCGAACTCTTTGCTGTCGCAACCAATAGTGTGCGGGAGAAATCTTTTGTTATTGTGTGTTAAAAACATTATTTGATGTCGAACTGTGAACTATAGTGAATAATAGTGGTGGTAAAGGTCTTCGGTTGGATGTTGGAGCGGCGGATTGCAGTCCGGAGCTGGTATCCAGTGGCAGTGAGTCATAGTGTATTGATTTTCCTATCCAAATGTGCTCCAAAATTCCTGATACCTTTTTTCCCGTCACACTTGACTCATAAAGAAACGGCGTCATAATTCGCACGGTAAGCAATTCGCTGTTAGGTTCTGTATTGCAGTGATTTAGCAACATTACGTGGAGGTCACCACCCTGATGACCTTTGGTACAACCGGAACTTGGTACATATACTTTAGACATGAGCTACGATAGTGCGGTAGAATATTAGTCATATTGTAGGAAATTAAGGGCCGTTGCAGACAAATCCCAAAATTTCTCGGCCGGAAAGTTTCCGGAACGAAAATTTTCTCATTAAATTTAGTTTATTTAGCTATAGTAAGGAG